GGGGGGGGTCTATGACCTGCTGCTGCCAGGAGGCCATGCTGCCCTGTCCCCCCCCGCCCCCAGATGTAGGAGTCATCAAGGTTTGCCCTCGCTGTGGCGCCTTTATCATGAAGATCAACGACGGGAGCTGCAACCGCATGAGCTGCACCATGTGTGGCTGCCTCTTCTGCTGGCTCTGCCTGCGCGAGGTCACCGACGTGCATTTCCTCAGGTCCCACTGCACAGGGGTCTCTGTGGGGGTGCAGGACGGGCATAGAGGGCTGGCCTGGGGCTGCTGGTGGGCCGGGCAGGGCAGGGAGAATGGGGGCAGTTATAGGGCAGGGCTGGGCCCCGGTGTGGGGCTGGGGGATGGGCACGGGGTGCATGTGGGGCGGATCCTGGGCAGGCCGGTGTGGCCGAGTCCAGCTCCGTGGCTGGAGGTGAATGGGAGGGGGGGTCCCACAGAGCTGGACTGACACGGTGCCTCGCCCCCTCCAGCCCATCTGGCTGCACTTTCTGGGGCAAGCGTCCCTGGTCGCGCACGCGAAAGCTGCTGTGGCAGCTGGGTATGGCGCTGGGCGCGCCCATGGTCATCTCACTCATCGCTGGCATTGCCGTGCCCGTCATCACCATTGGTCTCCCCGTCTACATGGGTCGCAAGGTAACACCCCCAGGCCGGGCCCAGGGCCCAAGTCCTCTTTTGTCAGGGGAGGGGGATCCCCCCACTCCTGCAGCCTCAGAGCTGCCCCCGCCCCCTCACCTGTCCCCACCCCACCCCACCCCGCAGGTGCTGGGGCGCAGCCGGAAGAGCAACCTGTCAGGGTGCCAGCAGTGCTTGTCGGTCAGCAGCAGCGTGCTCCTGTCCCTCTTTGTCTCCCCCATCATCACCGCTGTCACCGTGGGTAAGTGCCCGCTGAGCAGGGTGGGCACCCCAGTCCACGGCTGCCTGGGGCCGACTGGGCCTGGCCCAGCTCTGTGTCTGCCCACAGGGGTCGGGGTGCCCCTGCTGCTCACCTATGTCTACGGCGTGGTGGTGCTGTCACTATGCCGAAACCGCTGGGGCTGCACAGACGGCGGCAGGAAGCCCGGGGACCCCGGCATGGTGGAGCTGGAGAACCTCGCCAAACGTGAGTGCCTGGTCGCTGGTGCCAACAGCCGCCTCCACGGGGGCACCAGGGCCTGGCCCTGCCCCGGGACCCCCCTGCATGGGGTCTCCTGAAGCCAGGGGCTGCTCCCCCTCTCCTGCCCGCACGCTCGACCGTAGACCCTGTGCCACCCGCTGTGCGCCCCCATGGGCAGCCCAGCCCCTTGGCTCTGGCCTGGGCCTGGCAGCGCCTCTGTGCTCTCAATCTCCTGTGGGGGGAGGTCCTGATCCTGCAGCTTCTTGGGGGAGTGGGGAGGGGGCTTCAGAGGCAGCCTGTGGCAGGACCGTGGGCCAGGGCAAGGCGGAGCAGGTTGAGTCGTGTGGCTGCCCTGGGGAAGGCAGGGGCATCTTTCCATGCCTGTCTCCCCCCTTCCCACAGTGAACGAGCTCTGGGCCGTGCTGCCCAACCCACGGGCGACTGAGGATGGGACCCCCGACACAGCCTCCTCCCTGCCTAGCAGCAGTAGCCGCAGCCAGCGCCACCAGGCCGGCTGCAAGGACCAAGACACCCAGTCTGCGAGCACCATGGCCCTGGCTGGTAGCATCCTCAGCGAGGGCCAGGATGCATCCTACAGGTGAGCCTGCGGTCATGGGGCAGGGATGCTCCCACCCTGGCCTGGCTGTGACCCTGTCTCCTCCTCACAGGGAAGGCGTGAACTTCGAGGTGGAAGTGGCAATTGAAGCAGAGCCACGGGCTGGGCAAGAGCAGAGCCTGTGCAGTGCGCTTTCAGGGCACAGCCTCTCCGGGGACTCTCTGGGCTGCGCCAGTGATGCCTGCAGCACGGCTGGGGCCCTGGGCGAGTGACCTGGGTTGGCAGAGCCGAGCCCCACGCTCAGAACAAGGTGGTGCCGGGGCCGCTCCATGGCACAACCTGGCGCTGTGTGCAGGATACAGCCGGGGCCCGTGGCAGCTGGCCTCGTGGCTGCACCTTGCTTGACCCCTCCACAGGCTGGCTGCGAACTCTGACGCTTGCAGGCAATAAAGCAGTAGCCGAAGCGGCTGGCGTCTGCGAGCCCAGATTCCAGGAGTCATCTCCGCACCCCATGTGTGGGGTCAGGGAGGCTGGAGAGGTCCCACACAGGGATGAGCAGAGGCTATGAGACCGGAGCTGGAGCCGGAGCTGGAGCCAGAGCTGGAGCCAAGCATGGCTGCAGCAGCCAGTGGGCAGGTCGCAGTGCTGAGCCCCATGGGTGGTGCAGTGCTGGGCTGGGGGGTATGCCCCACATGTGGGGGCTGCAGCACTTGGGCAGCCTGTGCCAGCTGCACTGCCCTGAGCCACAGGGCCCAGCTCCTCAGCTCTGTCTTTGGCCCCCATTGCTGCCAGCTCTGGAGGGGTCTTGTCCTGGAGCCAGGCTTGGAGGAGGGGTGAGTGTGGGGAGGTGGAAAGGGGGGCACTGGCACAGGGCTCACATGTATGGGGGGAAGCCTGGCCAGGAATCCTGCTCTACCTGCTCTGGGCCAGTGCCCACCAGCAGCCCTGGCCATACCAGAGCCTGGCCCCACACGCTCAGCTGCCCCATGCTCCGCTCAGGCCCTTCTCCCCAGTTCCTTCTTGTGGGCACTGGCACTGGCACTCATGTGAAGGACCCACTGCTTTGGGCTGGTCTGCTCTGGGTTTGGGCTGGCTGGCTCAACATCCCCATCCTCTCTGGTCCTGGGCCCCTGGCAAGCCCACGGTGCAAGGCCAAGCCCGGTTGCCCACAAGCACAGAGGGCTGTGCCCTGGCTGGGCTCCAAGGCCCCAAGGGGAGGGGGTGGCTCACGGACTGCACAAGGACACGTGGCTGCCTCATCTCAGTGTATGGCCTCACAGTGTGGTCCAGAGATGGTGGAGCAGGAGCTTCTTTTCCCCGCCTCGCGACAGCAAGCAGAGCAAGTTAAAGGCATTTGCCTCCCCCAGGCTCATGCAAGCTGGCAGCTGGGCCTGTCTGGCACAAGCCACCCCTGCAGCAGCCACTGGGAACCACGCAGACAACGCAACATACGCTAGAAGCCTTGGAGTGCAACAGAGATATGGGAAGCTGAAGCCTTTAGGGAGGAAATCCCCAGAGGTGGGGTGAAGGACAAGGTGCTTTAAATATGCCCAGAAGAGCAGAAGCCTTAGCAATGGGACAGGCCCCTTCTGACATGAAGGTAAAGTTAGTAACAACGTAGGGAGGTGGAAGTGCTCAGCCAAGTCCTGCTCTAGAAAGAGGCAGAACGGAGGGGGCCTGGCACTTGCACACAAGATGCTGGCCTGGCAGAAACTGTGAGACGGGTCCTGCTAGACAAGGGTTGAGAGATGCACAATGGAGTTCAGATCATTTGGTTTTGGAATTGAATTGCCTTGAGAATTTGAATTGAGGCACGTAGGAAAGCCCCACACAAAGGAGGACGTTAAGTAGCAGCTCCTGGGCACAACTGGTTAAAAAAAACCCAGACACACAGAACTGTTGCCCAAGAGTCCTGAAAGAGCTAGCCAAGGAGAAGTCTGCCAGGCTGATGGGAATTTTGTGATAAGCCTTGGCATACAAAGTCATGTGGGGCCAATATTAAAAATAGTGAAATAGTCCCAGGGGCATGAGCCCAGTCACCAGGCCAGTTCTAAGCAAAATAATGGACCAATGTATAAAGGACTGAACAGACAGGCTAGAAATAAGATGAATGGCTGACAAGGTGGGTTTATGGCAGGACCAATCTATTCAAATCAGGTGGATGTTATTGATAAATATTGGGTGAGTTTTGGGGAAGCAGTTGCATGGATGTAGCAATAGCCCAAGATGCTGCTGTGGACATTTACTCATAGTGCAAAACAGTCCGGCTAGAAATTCAGCATTGTACCATATTGGGAGCATGTACAGAATGGACCAACAGCAGATTGACCTCACAGGAACATGGCACAGCGTAGAAGTAAATGTATATAAAATTAACTGCTGCTGCTGAGACTTGAAGAGGACAGACAGGGGGATACCAAACACTGACGAGGGCAGGATAGCCCCAAGACACCCTAATTCTGCATTTATGACAGAGCAATCCCCTGCACTGCCACAGGCTGGGGGTGACAGGCTGGGCAGCAGCTCTGCAGAAAAGGACCTGGGAGGACAGTGGACAAGAAGCTGGGCAGGAGCCGGCAGTGCACTTGTGGTGCCAGGAAGGCGACTGGCATCCTGGGCTGCATTGGGAGGAGATGAAGGGCAGTGATTCTTCTCTATTCAGCACTGGGGAGGCCACATCTGGAGTCCTGTGTCCAGCTGTGGGCCCCCCACGACAGAAAGGTTGTGGACAAGTTGGAGAGAGTCCAGTGGAGGGCAATGGAAATGGTTGCGGGGCTGGGGGACAGGACTGGTGAGGAGAGGCTGAGGGAACTGGGCTGATTTAGTCTGGAGAAGAGGAGACCGAGGGGGATTGAACAGCAGCCGTCACCTCCCTGCAGGGGGGCTGCACAGAGGACGAAGCTGGACTGGTCTCAGTGGGGGCAGGTGACAGGACAAGGAGCAATGGGCTCAAGCTGCAGCAAGGGAAGTTGAGGTTGGCTATTACGAAAAAATTTCTCTCCCAAGAAGGGTGGTGAAGCCCTGGGACAGGCCCCCCAGAGAGGTTGCGGAGTCTCCATCATCGGAGGTTTTTAAGGCTTGCCTCTATAGCCCCAGCTGGGATGATGTAGTTGGGGTGGGCCCTCTTTTGAGCAGGGGGTTGGACTAGACGTGACCTCCTGAGCTCCCTTCCAGCTGTCATGTCCTAATAGTCCCATTCAAACAAATGGGGATTGAAAACAGGTAGGGACATTTTTGAGGGGGGGCCTCACTTATTAGACTATGTGGTTGGAAGAGATGTTGGATAAGCTTTTAGGCACACAGGGCCCTTCCTCAGGTCTGAGAGAAGCAGAGGCAGCCTGGCCCAAGTAACAAAAAACTAGAAAAATAAAAGCAAAAATAAAAGCTAGAAGGAACAGAGCAGGGCTGTGAAATGCAGCAGCGATGAAATTGGGATTAGCTGGAAGATGACAGAAATGCAGTAGGAAGGGCCACCCCTAAGTGCAAGAGCAAGACCATTCAAGGTGGAAGAGGGTCCGGGAGTGCAGAGATTAGCAGGTAGATGATGAGCTACAATGTCAGCACCCGGGTTCAGGCCCCGGTTGCTGGTGCCTGGGGGACTGATGACATCTCGTGTCCAGGCCTGACTGCTGAAGGCGTTTCGTATCCTGCCTTTGAGCATGAGGAGGGTAGGGCCACAAAGCCAGTGGCTACTTTGTGAAAAATGTTCTCCCGCCTGCGTTTCCACGTCTCTGCCCTTTATCTTTTCCCCACGTTGGTTCATTCTTGGATGTGTATTTTGTCTGCTTTCACCCAGTCACTTCCATGCAGAGGCACAGCACACTAGCTGGGGTGCACCATGCTCTGGGCAGACGAGCTTTTGTGGGTGTCGATGGGGTCATTGTGGGGTGCCAGTGGTGGTAGCAGCAGAAATGAACTGATGGGAGCCTCCATCCCTGGAACGCTTCAAAACCAGCCTGGGCATTTTCCAGAGACCTGTTCCCTGGGGCCAAGACCAGTGTCCCAGCGTGGCTCCGGTCCGTGGCATGTGCATTGCCAGAATGGACAGTCCCAACCATCTCCTGTGGCTGCAGCATCCCTAGCCACTGCCAGCAAGGCCCACGGAGTGAAGTCGGGTCAGCACAAGGCACCTTCTCCCCAGACACTGGTGGGAGGAGCAGCCTGGAGCACAAGTCCTGGGGCTGGAGGGATGGACTTCCCACTAAAATATGGGGACAGCAGGGTGGGTGGCAGGGGCCTGCGCATGAGCAGAGGGAGCCTAGGCATAGGGAAGCCTCTGGTGCAGGGGTGGAGGGAGCAGTTACTAGTGCCTGCATGGGGCAAGGTTGGGGAAGCGTGGTCGGGGGGGCTAATGGGGCCTGTAGGCCCCTCTTGCTGCCTGCCTTTTCTCATGTAGGCCCAAGGGCTAGGCCCC